AAAGGTCTGGTTGAAGATCCCTTGGAGCCTGCGGTGATACAGTGTCTTCCTTAGTAACACTTGTGCATCCTGAATAGGGGTTGGAGACGAGACCTTCAACAGCAGGGAAATCTATTTGCTCTGCTGCCCTTAGTCACCAAGGCCACCAAGGTCTGAAGGAGCATAGAAGTCCTGTAATGTGCAGTAGTGCTGCTACAGAAACCTCAAACACTGACATTTGTGGAACCTTTGGTACAGTTTTAGGAATGACTTGTTTTTCATACATTGTCTGATTGTTCAATTTTTTTATCGTATGTTAAAGATTCCCATCAGACACATTTTAAGTAAAAGTAAAAAAAAAAAGAAAAAACTGATGAGTAAATTGCTGAAGAAGGTTAAAAAGAATGTGTCCTTTTTAGCTCCTTGATTAAAAACTGCAGCTAAATATGTACAAATCAGGGCACCTCAGTCCTTGAACAACCACTACTGGTTCAGCTAATTTTCATTTTGGACATGCCCAGCACAGCCACGCAGTGTGGGGTGAGTTAAAAACACTGTGTCACATATAAATACTGTTACCTAAAATTCTGCAGTGATTCACAAATGCCAAATTTTTGTAAGATCGTAATTGCAGGAGAAAAAAAGTTAATCACCTTGTAGTTTCTCTATAAAACAAACCCCTACTGCTTAATTAGTATTATTTAAGTATTTTGTGAATTCTTCATTCTCCATCGCACTTCACAAACCTGTAGTGGCAGTAATGGGGTGAAGAAAACAACACAAACTAGACACTAGACAACAGACACTGCTGGGGACATGCAGATCATGGGCTGTATTTGATAATGGACTATCAGAATTGCGAGATTGCCAAAGACACCCAGCGCTTTGAATCACACGTACTGTATTATTTAAAAGAAATTGTGTTCATTCCTAATCATTTGTATACACAAATGATCCAGAAGTGTGTCTGATTTTTGCTTCTACTGAGCTAGCCGAGCACTATTGTCACCTAATCGGACCACATGAGCAAAGATGCTTGGTTTACACTTAGAGACAATCAAAGAATTATAACAATAATGTGGTTAAAAGGTTTCATGTTATTATCTAGTACAATCAACACACAGATTCCAACTTTGACATTTAGCTAGCGATGGGGCTACTAGCAAGGATCGCTAATGCTACGAGGACATACGAAGGGAATGTGTTTCAAGGAGAACGCTTTACTTCAGGACTGTTTTTATTAAAATAAATACTTGAATATTGAATACTGTTTACAGTTCTGATTGCTGAATGAATGGTAGGAATGGTAGACTCTGTAGTCTTTATAAATTTCTTACATATGTCTGACCACCTGGTTTCTCATTTAACAGGAAGAAGCTAAACCCTAGTAATAAATCAGCTTCACATTTAACAGTTTAACCACACAAAACAAAGTTGTATGGCAAGAATATCATGTGGAAGTGTGACTTTACAAATCACAGTCATGTATTTACAGTTTAGAGAAATGTGATTACGGCCTCCTTGTAAAAATCCATAGATTAAGTAAAAGAGAACACAAAGAAAACAAAATGCAAGGGTGTTTATATTCAGTATGTAACATAAAGCTGGTAAAATCTATGTTTCTATCATGAATTAACACTAAAGGATGAAGTTGAAGTCAGGCTGTAGTGTTTGCCCGTTAACAGAGACGTTCTAACATGATGCTAACGTGATCTCTTGTACAATGAACTCCTTTGAGGAGCCAAAGGACTCTGAGGACAGATTTCCTTTGTTTTGGCCCCAGAATATCAGCATAGAAATGAGCTGTGATATTTGTGTAGTAGAGCCACTCGTGAATAATCTCAACATTGTAGGTAGCTCAGATATACTGTCATTAGCCACAGTCGTTACCGAGCTTACTCTGAGGTTACAAGAGTGAAAGTAAAGGGGAATTTTAGTTTAATTTGCAGTGACTGGCCTCAGTATAGCTCATGTAGAGTCTGGTTATACCACTGGTTCCTCAAATCTTGAAAGTATAATGTGACTCTGTTGCCTTGAATGCATGTCGCATCTGACGGGGTTCAGTTGGAAGTCATGAGTAAGACGCTCTTTTTGGCTTTACAAGGAAAACTCACCACATACTTTTGCCATCTGTGCCATGTGAAATGGACACTGAAGCATGATGAACATGCCCTGCTATCAAAGACAAAGTGTCTGATGTTTGTATGTGATAACTGTTGTCATTGTATCTGCTGTAACAGAGCCGAGGGGGAAGACTTTGTCAGTAAAAGAGCATTTTTAAGTAATTGTCCCAACAGTTTTTTTCATTTTAAAATTAATGTCTTTATTTGATACCAGTGCCAAAATGGTTTTCGCACAGTAATTACATCCATGCTTGAAAGTTTTTAAAGCATGAATTTGCCAATATGGTGAAGACAGTGAACTATTTAATTCATTTTTAAAATAATATTAATATACAACCACTTACAAAAGGAGTCAAATCTCACAAACAACACAGATAATGATGTCATGTTATCCATAGAGTTATTCCATTAGACATTTAAAATAATTGCTTTACAAAGAAGAGGAAGCAAACAACGAAGAAAACAACCAATAAGGAAAAGAGGACGTGAAAATGAAAAATTATGCTCCATTTTTAAGAACAGCTTTTATTTTTAATATAGAGAAACTTTTATGTAACACATTAATTTACAGTTATGTATAACATTTAATTATATAACATGTCAACTACTACTTATAAAAATATTAATTACCAGCAACATTATTAACGTATGCTGTGTAGGAGACAACTGGCACCAAATTGAAATGAACTATTAGAAAAAATTTAAAATTTTTGTGTGACATATAGATGTTGTCTCAGAACAAAAGCAGATAATCATTAATATTATACTATTAGGAGCAGTTTTGGCTTACAGGAGCAGATTTAGATATGTTCAACCTTGGTTCAGTTCAATATGAACATCGGACACAAGAAGCCTGCTTCCTTTAACACTGGGATTCTTATAAATGGCAACTATTTTTTTCTGTCAATGCCTAAACTTCAAGATAACCTTAGATTACAATATAGCTAGTTTTGGTTCATTTTTTATGTTCATCTCTGCAATAGATTTATATAATATTATATAATATAATATAATATAAAAATGTATTTATCACGGTGGCACGGTGGTTAGCACTGTTGCCGCACAGCAAGAAGGTCCTGAGTTCAATTCCACCATCAGGCCGGGGTCTTTCTGTGTGGAGTTTGCATGTTCTCCCCGTGTTTGCGTGGGTTCTCTCCGGGTACTCCGGCTTCCTCCCACCGTCCAAAGACATGCAGCTTGTGGGGATAGGTTGATTGGAAAATCCAAATTGTCACTAGGTTTGAATGTGCGACTGAATGTGAGTGCGAATGGTTGTCTGTCCCTGTGTGTTGGCCCTGCGACAGACTGGCGACCTGTCCAGGGTGTTCCCCGCCTCTTGCCCTATGACAGCTGGGATAAGCTCCAGTGCCCCCCGCGACCCTGAAAAAGGATAAGCGAATGGATGGATGGATAATATAATATAATATAAAATATAATAACCACAACACAACCAAAGCTAAGACTCTGCTTTAAATTGAGGCTTTAAACAAAAACACTGGATTGCAGTTGTTACATTTTTTCAGCAGACGTTCCTCTGGTATAGGTATAGGTTGATCTTCTATAAGATCAACCTCTGGTATGGGCTGATCTTGTGGTGAACTCTCTCTGCTTGCTCTCTTAAAGTCTTCTTTTTATGGTACACTTGGAAAAATTTGATGTCTCTCTCCTGGTAAGTATTCTTAAATTAGCTGGATGTACATGGATTACATGACATACCCACTTTAGTATGTTTTAGGGCGCCAAGGGACAAAACACTTTTAGGCCTAATTAATATCACCTGTTAGGACACTTTGAAACTTTGCTGTGCATAAGTAGAATGTAAACGGTATAAGTAGCAATGTGACTGTAGTTTCTAACAGTGTCAAAACATACTTTGTGTTTTTGCAGATTTGGAACTTTCTTCATCGCCAAAGCCTTTAGGGAAACAGCTACTTCTTTTTAGTTTCTAAATGCAAGGGTTTCCATAGCAACTTTGCGTTAAACATCACAGTCTTCTATGCTGTGGGTAATTCCCTTGTGCAAAGTCTATATAAATGCAGACTTTTGGAAGGAGTGTATAAAAAGCACTTAATATCTGGGAAAATGTCCCCATGCTCTTGGACATTTTGACAGCAGGACAGCCCTGAGGTCTAAGGGTCTTGTGAGCTTAAAGCTTAGTTGATGGAATAAGCTCAAAATCTTTAAGTTTGTGAGTGCTAAGGTTGTGATTGAGTCATAGACCTTGTTTTTACCTCAGAAAGTATGAGCCACGTTGCACCATGTGCCAGCTCTGTAAAGCTGTTACAGATATCTGAATGTAGTGAAGTAGATTCTGGGGTTGGATTTTACATGATGTCCTAACCTAAGTCACACTTCATCGTGTTGACACAAAAGCCCGGGCGGTGTAATAATCTTGGTCTTGCATTAGTTGCAATCAAATGTCCAGTTAGTGGACTTGTGGCTATGTAAACTTTTACCTTTGCCTTTACCTTTGAGACAGACAGGGTTTCCTTTCCTCCAAAAACACCCAAGGTTGGGAAGATGGTATGAGCGATGTACCAGATTTCATGATGTCATCAGAGATCCCCAGTTATCGTTAGTCGTGGCAGGTGGCTGCCCCTCCCAGATCCTGGTTCTATGGGAGGTTTCTTCCTGTTAAAGGGGAGATTTTCTTCCCACTGTCACAGAGTGTTGCTTATAGGGTTTTTTTAATTGTTGGGTTTTTTTCTCTCTATTATTGTGAGGTCTTAACCTTACAACATAAAGTGTCTTGAGGAAACTGTTGTGATTTGCTGAATGTGAAAAACATGCTGAAAATGTAGGCCAGCTTGTCATTTTCAGCTGCCCAGACACAGTGATGAATTGGGTCTGTAATCATCTCTCCATGCATTCCTTTTGAAAAACTCTTAAAACACATACTGAACATATTGAACTCTCTTTATTCAGCATTTATGGCAGTCCTGTTGTTATACAAATAGTTTACAGTAAAAGACTAGCCATTTAAAAAAGGGTTAAAGTGCAGATTTATTAGTGTTCTATTAAAAATAAAAGTAAATGGGCCTTGCACAGTTTATGATTTAAATGCATTTAAACAGTTCAAAGGAACAATAAAGGTTTAGCATCTCCACCCACTGCAGACTCAGTGTGCCTGACTTCCTCATGTTTCACTAACATTGCACAAAAGATCTTCATAAAATTAAATATGTTGTCATAGAATTAATTATAACGTGATGATTTTTTTAAATTATAACCCACAAGCGTCCCCAGAATAACCACGCTGGAATGTTTCACCAGCCACAGTGCTGATCACTAAAGCTTTTCTTATTAATTTTCTTATTGTACTACACAAATAGCTGCAAGAAGGAAACATAAACAGACACAGACAGAAGAAAAAGTTAAAAGTAGTTAACAGTGTTGAAAGAAAGAATATGTGAATTAACAATAGCCAGTGTGCTGTTAAATCCACACAAGCTGGCTTTGCTCAGTGGTTGCTACAACGGCGCTTGCTGCCAATAAAAGCCCTCATTACTGTGTTTTACCCATTCATTGTGGGAAAATACCTCAGTGTATTAACAAGAGCTGCTTTCATTACATCACACATGGCTCTGGTAAAAAGATGGGTATGATTCCAAGAAGATATGTCAAAAAATATATATTTGTCAATTTATTTAGCTCAAGAGAATAATATGTGCGATGATGGCTGATTATTTCTAAACAGTTAGCTATTAAAATGTACATTTCTGAGAGCTGCCTAAACAAAGTCTTCCTTCAATGAACAAAATTAGTGGAATCTAAATAACAACTCTTTGTGTCCCTTTGTTGCTAGGCTACATCGGGTTTCAGTAATGACGATCTGGTGGTTGTTAAACAAAAGCAGGGTTTTCTCCACCAGTCTCCCCCTGCTGGTAACATAGCTTCATCTGAGTGAGAATCAAGGGGAAAAAAGTTGTTAGGTTCCCGCTCAGTCCAAACTGAGAAGTCCATCAAGCATGCACAACAAAGGGGAGCTTCTACGCTGGCTGCATGTCCATTTCTACATGTCTGCTTTAGATTATTGGCACTGGCAGACCTCTGTGGGAGAAAACTGGGATAAGAAAGAGTAAAAAGACTTCATGTGTCTCTGAACATGCCCGTTCTTCAGTAGGAGCACCACAGCGCCCAGAAAAAATGGAAGCGGAAGTACGTAGCTTACTGCCATGGCCTCTGTGGTGTTGGATTGGGGTTGGGATAGATGGGCGCCGGTGTTGGGTGGTGGTAGTTTGGCACTACATTGGGTTTTGGAGGATATGTTGGGGTGGGGTACTGTGGCATGCCGTGTGGCTGGCTGTGGGGGATGGTGTGGGCGGGAGAGGAAGCGGCAGAAGAGGAGTCAGGGAGGTGAAGGTAGAGAGGAGCCGAGGGAGCCGAGGGAGCAGTCGGAGCGGACGGTGCAGTCGGCGTTGGGACCCTCTGCAGGACAACATGTGGGTAAAGCTGAGACTCGGAGCGGTAGAGCCCGGGCATGGAGGCCTTCAGCAGACTCTCCTGACTCCTGAAAGACAGAAGCACAATAAGCCATCTGTTATTACAAACAAGAGAACTCATATGAAATGTATCCACGTTAGGCTAAGGCTTCACTTCAAGATTAGATTAAAGTACAGATCGAAACATGTCAGGAATTATAGAAATGCTACAACTATAAAATAACCCAAGTTTAACTTGACTCAGCAGATGGTTGTTACACAGAACCGTTAGTGAGTGTTTTCACACCGTAATTGCTCTCAAGTGCAGATCAAAACAACCCCACCAGGACCCTCAAGAGGAAGTGGTCTTGGTCTGGTTCCAAATGATCATGATTCATTTCCCTTTTTTTTTTTTTACATGTATAACACAATACAGGCATGTTCAATTTACTCGTATCAGTCGCATGTATCCAAAATAAAGGTCTAAGGTGTAAACCTTCTTACTTACTATATTTGTCTCGGCACAATTTGGGAGAAATGTTGAGTTTATTTTGTTTTTAGTGACTTTTAAAAAAGATTTTCTGTGTGTTTGGTTCCTGTGAATGTTGCCAGGTTACCTTTGGTATCCTCTGTTCTCGTATCCACTGAGGCCTCCCGTCAGGTAGAGCGGGCTGTCTGGAGCAAGACGGGGGTTCATCCTCTGTGACAGGTGGAAGATCTTAGGTGGAGGGAAGGCTTCCCATTCGCCCTCCTCTCTCTCCAGCCAGCACTCGCTGCGACGGGCGGAGCGCTTGTCTCTGCGTCTGACGAGGTCACAGGAGAGATTTATCAGTTTTTGAGAGTTTGATACCAACATAACTCCGCACCGCCATCCCCATTCCTACCTGATCCGTCCATCTTTCTTGGAACGGTCCCGGCTGGATCGCTCCTGCAGACAGCAGATGAGAAAGGACAGGGACATGGCGAGGATGACAATGCCACTAACAACTGAGGCCAGCACAGCCACTCTCAGTCCACGGTCCTCCGGCCTGGGGATAGCTGTTGGGAGAGCAGAAATGACTCTTCAGGTTCTCTCTTCTTTCCTCTTTGCTTTGATTGCTTGCATGTTGAGAGGAACAGTTAGACTTGTTCCCTGAGCACACAAAAGAACTGTGTACTGTCAATGAGTCTTTTTTTTTCTTTCTTTTATAAAAGTAGAAGTTTGAATGGTGAAAACTAAAAAAAAGTAAATGCAGGAGAGAAATCTTTGGGCTAATGTATTTAAGTTTTAGGTTTTCCATACTTAAATCTACACACCTTCACAGACAGGCAGGTAGTTGCTCCACTGCGCTTTACCATTCCTGACATGGCAGTAGATTTTGTCGCTGCCAACCAGCTGGTATCCATCTCTGCACCAAAAGGCCAAAGCACTCCCGATCGACACACCTGTTCCACCTTCCACATAGAAGGAACCCCGACGTGGTGGCAGGACAGGCATACAGGACAGACCTGATGGGATGTGGGACAAAAGTGCTTAGATCAACCAAACACATGGTCATTGTGCTAAAGAAAAAGGGGATTAAGTTAGACAGGGCGCCCTCCAAAAGTCCTCAAGGGGGCACTGAGGTTTAGTGAGTTTAGGAAGGTACACCTTCCTTTAAGCCTTCTTTATTCTGATTGAAAGCCCCTCGCAAACAAAAGGCTGGATGAGTAGGGCTGCTGCACTCACAGCCAGAGGTGTGCCAGAGATAACTATGTTAGGGATATCTACTCTCAGGGACACTGCAGAGCAGGCATCAAGACACCAAGAGCCTAGAATAGAAAAATTATGCTTAGAGCTCATTACAAAGACCTCATTTTAACCTTTATCCATGTGGAATATCAACTTTAGGTCCTATAACAGTATATGTATGCGACCGAGCAAGGAAAAGTATAGTAGAGCCCTCTAAAGGTTTTTTCACTGAGGTCATGAGTTAGTGTGTGTGAGCCAACATTATGCCTTTTCATGGATTAGTGCCATTTGATTTCTGTGGAGTTAATGTCTTTTCCAATAGCTGGACCATCTTTAGCAGAGTTAATGTCTGTCCCCCCCCTCTTTTCCCGCTTCTTTATCCATGTTCGTTTCAGGCATAACCACAGCTTGCTCCCAAGTTTCTGCAATCTGTGGTGGGGCATTTAGATTACCATTTTCACTAGCAGAGAGCGATAGATGGAGAAAAGCAGAGGCATGCAGCACTATTTTTATCTTCCTCATGCTACAATACACAAATACCTCTGAGAGGTCTTGTGATACAGCAGCTATTGTTAGCTTGTGCTGTGGGGATTTTTGAAGCTCTCAGAAAATCTCATGTAAACATACAGCATCACTGATTGCACAAAATGTGCCACATTTTTATACTGCAGCTTACAGAAAAGCAATGCAAGCATTTTTTTGTTTGTTTTTTGCATCGCTGCAAAGAATGATAGAAAAAAATGAACATATGATGCAACACTCCCATTTAGCCAGCTCAGACTTAGTTTTATTTATTTTATGTTTAATTATACACACTCTATTGAGCCTGCACTTTATGATTGCATTTATTTATCTATTTATCTACTTATATATATATATATATATATATATATATATATATATTTATTTTTTTACGGATTTGACTTATTACGATGACTAAGCTGACCACTTATTTTAAATCTTAGACCTTTTTTTTGTTTGTTTGTTTGTTTGTTTGTTTGTGCAGGGGTGTGGGTCCACTTTGTATTCCAGGGTTTTTTATTCGTATTATTAGCTTGGATCTCTCTCTCTCTCTCTCTCTCTCTCTTTATTTATTTATTTTTTTTACATCTACTGGCACTGTTGTAATTATGATGTGGGAATGTATGTCTCATATTGTTTTACGTTCTTCAAAAAGAAAACAGCATACTGTGCAATTTGTCTTTTGTAAAATTGATGCATAAAATTCAACAAAAATATCTGGGGGGAAAAATGAACATGCGATAGGGGCTGACAGGGTTGTGCATACAGTCGATAGTAGTGACGATTCAGCAGTCACCAGGTGTAAATTGAACTGCAGAAATTCTGGGTTTTAAAATTTTTTTGCCAGAATGTTGCATTTGAGTTATATCTGCAGAGTTTTATACTAATAATGGCGGATATCCAGCAGAATGTACAGAAATATGTTTTGACCTCATCATGGAATTGGAAAGCTGCATTATCACTTGAATTATTAACTGAAGAAAACTTTCACAAAGGAAACAAGACACTTGTCACCAATCGGTTTATTGTGTTGGCTGGTCACTAGACAATATTCCAGGCTCTGGTAACCCTCTAATGGATTAATTATCCTGTCATATAATACTTTAGCTAACTACACTAATCAACTAGTTGCTTCAGTTGCCCACGTAGACGCTGAACTTGGTCCACCCATTTTGCGTCACCAGTGTTTATAGCACCCATCGTTACCTGAAGTCTCAGAGTATTGTTGACTTTTAATGTGGTCCATATTAACTTGGAAATTGGAATTTTTGAGTCCCAGTTGGGATTTTCAACTGGAAAATCATCAGATTCAGCCCAATTTAATCTGTTGGGCATTTTGTTTGGACTTCAGACAACAATTCTGATTGCTTCACTGCCAGACAATGTAAAATTTTAATATGAACTTTTAATCTATACTGCCACTGCTATTTGAGATTTGCTAAAAAAAACAACCCACGCAAAGCACGGACCAGGATCCACCCATGAAGATGCTGCAGCGGTGGCAAATAAGCATCGTGCTGTATCGATAGTGATGCATGAATGTGTTGACCTTTCTAAAATGCAAAACAAATCCTGTTTTCTGACTTTACTATTGGAACGCACTAACGCAGTTACTAGGGTTTCTATAGTGTCTAGTAGCTAAATGCTATGCTAGCAATCAAATTTTTGCTGCACTTTTTTTTTTTGGCCCAATAATTATAATATAATTATTTTATAATTATATTATTTCATGCCTATGGAAAAATGTAAAAATATGTAATTTCCTTTGGTAAAATTATCTTTAGTTTATTGTGATTTCATTTCGGTTTTGGAAAGTAGCCCTGGGTCATCCTTGAATATAGGCTAACTTTTTTCTCTTTCTCATCTACTTTTACGATACAGTGTAGGTTCACACTAGATGTGTGGTATGTATAGTGCCATCATGATCCTAATATTTCATGTTTTAAATATCAAATCGGTATATCACAACAGCCCAGAAAGGTTTGCTGAACACAGCAACTGGAAGCAGGTTAGAACATGAATTTCTTAGACTTGAACAGTTAATCTGCACGAGATTAAAGCTAAATGCTAAGTTGAAAGATGCTAATGGAGGATGACCAGGTTGATTCTTTGTGGGTTAGACACCTTTGTTCTATCTATAGTAATATTTTCTATTTTTAGTAAAAAAAATAATCATTTGTGCTTTAAAATGGATTAAAGAATTAAACACAGAAAGTGTTTGCTATTATGGTGTTTTAATGAGTAATGGCCAGAGGAGCGCGTGATACCGTGGAATGCTTTGCTGTGTCACTATTAGTGTAATCTTGTGTGTGTGTGTGTGTGTGTGTGTGTGTGTGTGTGTGTGTGCATGGGAGAGAGAGAGAGAGAGAGAGATATCATCCCTATGAACATACAAGCTGCTCTCTGCTGATTAGGAGCGACAGATGGGAGGATTTCTGCTGCGTTAGAGACAGTGAGGGAGAGGATCCCGTGATCCTATGCGAAGATGACAGCATCCTCTCCCTCACACACACACACACACAGAGTTACACAGCACAGCATACACGAGACACGTGCGTGATTGCTACAGTACAGGGAAACAAGGACAAGCTGACTCTGTTCTTTTTTAAACGGGGGACTAAAAGCCTTTCTGTTTCCCTTAAGAGACCTTTTACTCATGCTTTGTGTTTGTATGTAGTATATATCTATCTGGCGACCATCATGTATTTTGTAGAGGGGGCTTTATAGTGTACTTAAAAAAAAAACAAACGCTTGAATTTTTTAGGTCCTGATGTCTGTATTGGCAGAGCATGCACACACGGCACTAAGATAAAGAAATGACATTAAAGGACATCATCTGTTTAAATGATTCAAACAATCTGCTTTACAGTCATGAAATACAGCACACCTTTAACTTATAAAAGACGTTATGTTTAACCTTGTTCAAGAAAAGTTACACACTCAAGATGTCATCAGTGATGTGGATCAGACTCAAGTCAAATTTCTTTTATTTTCCAATACTTTGCTCTTTTCTTTTGCTCCTTTGCAACATTCAATATTCCTGCTGTGGAAATAAAAAGTAATTGCTCATTTGTGTTGTAGTGGGGCAAACCTCTCACAGAAAGAATATTAAAGAGATAAATTTGCATTTGAATGAAAGCTAAATGATCTTTAATTAAAACGAGGTGAATGCAATTATCATCAGAGATTCATCTGGTGAGTTTATCAGACATTATTACGGCACCAGGAGCTCTCAGTTTATGACCTATTAAAAGGCAGCGCACTAAACAACACATTGTTCACTGTCCTCATGGTCATATTGATTATCAACTGGTGGAGATTATCAACCATATGGATTTGCATTTAGCTGCTTTATTTACAGTAGGATTCTAAAGGAACTTGCAGATTTACAGAGAGCCAATGACTGGAGGTCAGTGTTTCCTGACCACAAACCACAGCATGCATTAACAGTGTACTATAACAAAACAATGTCACTATCGTTGCTCAGCAATGGACTCACTCTGTTTTAAATCAGCAGGCTATTACAGCATGGATGGATTTGTAGTACTCAGAGAGACAAGATCAATTTTAAATACTTTAATGACTAAAGCAACATTAGCATTCATTTTATTACATTTTTCAAAGGTAACTTTCTTGGTTGTCACTTACTCATAATTACAATTCCTGGCAAGTACCATCTAAACGGTTCACCCTGTTCAACAGCTAGCAGTTAACTTTGGCTATGTGTGATCTGCAGCTAGTGGACACTGGGCTTGAGCTACAGTGTGTTTACAATGAACAACAGGTTCTTGGTGTGATGACAATTGAGACACTGAGGTTTAATGCTAAAATGCTCAGTAAAGCTGAAAGGAACGGACAGGCAGGCTCACAGCCCCTCCTCTCACTAGCAGCTGAACACCTGAACAGTAGTTGTGGTTCACGACGCTAAAAAAGGAGGAACTTAAAGCTCCCATTTCAACAGCACTTAAATTTTAAAGAGTTATCACAAATGCTAAACTGGCTGGCACACATGTTAACCATAGCCATTTAACTATTAGTAGTACCTGATAGCTGCATTAGCTATCTGTTAAGTTACAATTAAGGTAGTGAGTAGTGGCTAGCAGTCATCATTACCAGCCCTGTCCCAGTAGCAGCCCACTTTACCAACTCGATTTAAAAAATAAAAAATACAGCCAACATAAAGTACCTTAAACCTGCCGGAAAATGGCTCTTTGTTTTAACCTCTTTCTTGCTGTGCTTAGTCATTTTGGGTCAT